CTACGAAGGATCCATGATCCTTTCTTATGTTGTCTGTAGAACCTGAGTCTACAATTCAAGAAAAAGAAATAGTTTTCATTAGAAAAACATTATTGAAAACATAAGAAAAATATGAATTCACATAATTCACAAGTATCTAATCACATCCACTTTGCTTAGGACAATCCTTTACAAAATGACGCATCTTTTGACAGGAAAAACATTTGACCTTTTTAAGGTTAATTCTCTTTTTTCCACTCTTCTTGTCCTTTTTCTTGAAGGGTTGTTTGTCTTTCTTTATTTTAGAGCCACTCTTGTTACCCTTCTTTTATTGCTTCTTGCCCCTCTTGGGCTTAGAATTTGAGGGAGCACCTTCCTTGATAAGGTAAGCCTGTCTAGATGACTTGTAAGCCTCCAGCTCTAAGTGCTTAGCCACATCGTTAAAGTTAATGATGTTTTCATTGTAGGTTAGGTTAAATTTCATATGCTCCTAGCTGGTTGGGAGTGATTTAATTACAGCCTGTACTTACTATTCATCATAAAAATCATGCCCAACTTCTTTAAGTTCACGAATTATGTTGGCCATCTCTCTAAAGTGATATTGCATAGTAGTATTTAGCTTTAGTTTATAAGTGTCAAATTTAATTGTAAGCCTTCTCAGTTTGTTGGTTGAGGTACCAATGAACTTTTCTTTTAAGGTAGCCCACATGGCTTGGACAGTAGAGTGCTTCTCAAATTCGCATATCAAATTGTCTGCCATAGCACTTAGAAGTGTTATTCGTGTGATGCTATTTTTTCGTTTCCATGCCATAAATTCCTCTTAGTCTCTCCTATGCTAAGCCAAGTTTCCTACCTCAGGCTCGACCATAACCACAATCAGTGGCTCAACAGCGTCTTGTTCTTCTAAAAAATATGACACCTTATGGAGCTAGATATCCCAGTTATCCCTGTTTAATTTGTCGCCCTTATTCAATTTCAGCGATAATGTTTTTTGTCGCCATTCTTAGTTTTGATTGAAACTATCCCACATTACTAGTTTTTTATGTTAAACCAAGAATAAAATACTTATAAGAAACATACAATGTCTTATATTTATATTATTCTTTATTAGAGTGATAACAACTCTATTAAGTCAACAATCAGGAGGCTACGTTTGTATCTCCCATCACATTGATTCTAACAAAATCACTATCATCTATAAAGAATTTTACAAATATTTTCATAATCATCATATAGGGCTCTTAAATGACTTATCACTTTAGAGCTCCCACTCAAATAAAGTATATATAAAGCAATAAAAAATAAAACAACATGCTTCAAATATATCATAAATCATCAAGGTCTTAATACAACATAACTTACCTAAAAACAAACTCTTGAAAAATAGAACAATGCTTAAGGTACAGACCTAAAAAGACAACTCTTAATTATGTCTTTATATTTTTCTTGTACTTTCATCTCCTTGATGGCTCTATTTCATAGAGGATTTCCTAAGTACGACTTGTTTCGCTTGTTATGTTGCACAAGCTCTTTCCTAAGTTGTTTGAAAATTTCTCCTACAACCACAGCTTGTTTTTCTTTTGTTATGAAGCTTGAATATGCTCTCACTATTGAAGAAATTTAATCCAGCTTTTTTATTCTTTTAGCTTCTCTTTTTGCTATATTTATGATCATTGAGGTTGTGAAAGGTTGTTCCACATCTTCATTTTCATTTTGAACATTCTCATCACCTTCTGATTCATATTCTGGTCCCGACAGCATGTGCACCTCTTTACATCCTTCCGGCACATTTTTAAAATCAACATTGGGATCCTCTTCAGGATCAGAATCAAAATCCTCACTTTGAGGTTCATATTCCTCCTCTTCCTCTTCAAAGGGTTCTAGGTCAGAATCCTCACTAAGAGGCTCATAATTTGATTCATCCAGATACTCAATGCTAACATAATAATTTTTTGAGTTATCAATGCTGCTAGAAGCTTCTTACTTCATATTTGCCTAAAAAAATAAAAGAGAAAAAATTTAGAAATTTTTTTAAACTCATAAAATGCATTAGATAACTCAAAAAATAAATTCTTGTTTTGTCTCTAAAATATGCACACTATATACCAAAATGAAGATCTCTAATTTAGGGATTTTTTAAGATAAATTGTGTCCCAATCTGGTTCCACACGCTCCGGCACATACCCAAGAATGATTCTAGATTAAGAAATTCTGGAAAAACAAAAAAAGAATATTCCACTCTCGAGGAGGCGCGTGTTGTACACGTGCCACCTTATTGTGCTCTGATGACGACACATGCCGAACCGTTGTGCTCCAAGCACCGACAGCTTCAAGGTGGGGTCAACCACACACCGATGGAGTCTCCCGGTGGGTCCCATGTGCCACATGTCCAAATATTTTTTGTATTTTATTTTTTAAATTTGAATTAAATATATATTTTTTATTTACTTTTTTTTTAATCTGGGTTGGGTTTTATGTACCCAACACATGGACCCATAAACCAAAACAAAAAAGTTTTTTCTTTGGGTTAGCTAGGAAGCCAAAGACTATTTTTTTAGGGCTTCTAGGCTCATAGCCCAAAAGCAACCTTTTTAGGTTTTTTTTAAGGAACGACACATCAAAATGACGTGTCATTTTGATGAGGACAGAAATGATGTCTACCTCCAACTAGATCAACTTGACCTGGTTCCTCTAGCAGGTCGGGTTCGTAGGACTTGAAACTTCCAGAGGCTATATATCCTCCATCCAATCTCCATTTTACGCATTCTTGGTGTTGTTTTCTTTGTTTTTTTGAGCTCTACACGTTTATGCAATCCTTTTGTTCAAAAAACTCATTTTTCAAACATCCATTATTTGGTTTGTCTTCAGTCATTATGTTCATCACTGTTGATTGCATGCAAAACGTGTATAGCCTTATATAGAATACTCATATCACCCAAAAAGCATATAAACATGTTCATTTTGGCAACAATAATCATAAAGACAGACAGAGGCAGATTCATGTGAAAACACAGTAAGAAAACAAAAAAAAAACTGAACTTATAGATTTACATGTATATAGTTAAGCAAATCATTATAGGTTCTTCAGACATAAGAAACACAGCCCAGGAAAAATGAAAGCTCAAATACCAATAAAAAAATATGAGGAGAAAAGCAAACTTTGAGTCGTTGATTTGCACAGATATATGTAGGCATAAAGCTACATCGGTCAAACTTCATTTGAATACATACAGCAAATGCACTCACGGAGAGAATGAGAAGCCAAGAAAAAAATGAAACCGTTCTACTCTTTTCACTCAGGAAAAAACTAGCGAGAATTGCACCCATAACTGATCACTTATGGGAACGTACGGCAGATATAGTTTCTTAACCATTCCCTTTCAAAATTTATAGGTTGGAGAAAATTACATTTGAAGCACTAAGTAAATTGCACATTGAATTCAAACATTTTTCATAATTGTGACAAGAACCTCATTCCTCAATTTGAGCTTTTATATGGGCTTGATCCACCAAGGATGGATAACCTAAGAAAGTCCCAAAACAATGTATTTATGATAGTTAAGTTCTTGACAAAATTTTCTATAAAATCAATTTTAAATATATATTAATCAAGTGGTTGCAAACTTAGAATTTTTAATTGAAAATAAGATATTTAAATTATAAATATAAATCTCAATTTGTAATTGGGATTTTTATTTGCAACTATTTGAATTAATATTTACAACTTAATTTTTAAAAAATTTTGTTAGAGACTTAACTATCATACATTCTTCATTTCAAGACTTTATTGTTATTCTCCCTAACAATTAATGCTAAAAAAATGCTAGCTATTGTATTTTTTTTAAAAAGTTAAAAAAAAACATTAGACTAAAAATGAGTTTAGGATCCCAAAAATTCCTAAATATATAGTTTAAAGGTAAAATTACCATTTAGCCTATTATTATATAATAATTGAAATAGTAATTCTTTATAAAATATATGCCCTACTAAAGTCTTAATTATAGATTTTGATTATATACAGGTGGTGGAAGGAATTAAATTTTACCAAAAAGCTTCCTTTTGCTCGCGATAGATTGGTGGAATGTTACTCTTGGATATTGGGACTGTATTTTGAGCCCCACTATTCTTTAGCAAGAAAAATAACTGCCAAAGTTCTTTCTATCACATCAGTCCTTGATGATATTCATGACATGTACGGTACACTTAAAGAGTTGCAACTCTTGACCACAGCGATTGAGAGGTCTGAACTGAATACATATCAACTTCAAATCAATAATTAAACATCTTTTTTTTAATTGACTTCCCTCCACTGTAGTTTAAGAAGCACTATAAATATAAACTGTTAAATTAAATTTAATGATATAAATTTATAGTTTTAAAAAACATAGATTATTTTGTACCATTAAAATTTAATTTAAATTATTCATATTTGCAATGGAGGCCATAGTAAGGAAAAATATAGTGAAGAGAAACCAAAGTCTTTTTTCTTGGGTTGAATGATAAAATTTTCCCTATAATATAGATCTTGGAAAGTGTAAACACTAACTTGTTTTTCATATAATATTTTTTTAATTTTTAAAAATAGTGTAATATGACCTTTATTATTATATTTAATTATTAGTTGATTAAAAAATTATAAACAACAACCAAAAAATTATATAAAAGAATTAAGAATATTTTTTTATTATAAGTTTTGATGTCTTTTTCTATAATTTTTTTAATAATTAAAATTAATTTTTATTAATGATAAAGGTAATATTGTACTGTTTTTTAAGAGTTGAAAAAAATATTGCATACAAAAATAAAAGTTTAAGAATAAATTTAACCTTTAATTTTTTTTTTAAGTCTAAATAGAGAATTTTGTTTAACTACGAGTCAAAATTAAGAGAGTTCTGGAAAACGCCAATTCAGATGGGATATGATGACGTGCGTTGACTTTCTGCCAGAATACATGAGGTTCTTTTATGAAGCACTTTTAGATATTTATGAAGACATCGAGCAAGATATTTATCAAGGTTCTTTTATGAAGCACTTTTTTTCTTTCCAATTTGCATTAAAATCCATGGTTTTCTTAATCTGGTGGGAAGAGCCTTAAATGACTCGTATTTTCTTTCATCAGTCGTAAGTATGTCATAAATTTGCAGCAACTCATCAGTGTCTTCCGAGTGTAAAACTTTCTCAAGTTCTTCAAATATCTCCTCGGCACTTGTTTGTGGAGTGTAATCCTTGGATATAGCATTAGCTTGGTTTCTCTTCCTTAAAAAATTCTGCTTCAAAGACACAAAGATGAAGTTGTAACTTGTCAACCATCAATTGAATCATCAATACAATTTGTTTTTTCCTAGCTAGACAGAATTGAACCATATCCAAAAGCAGATCACCAAATTAAAGCAAAAAGATGCAAATAATAAGACACCATGACAACGTATAAGACATTTTTGGAAAAGATCTGGTATTCCCAAATATAAGATTCTTTAACAAAAATAAAAGTTTCATTAATTATATTTTTTTAATATTACCCTTTTCATATATTATTTTTCTTTAATATTCTTTTACAAATGAAGTATTAAATGAAGGAGATTTTTAAAAGTTTATATTGTTATTTTGAAAGGTAAGGTTATAAAGCGTATTTAGTTAATAAATTTTAGTAGCATGTCTTTTATAAATTGAGATGGAGGGATTTGTAAAAAAAAAAAAAAAAAAAAGAGGTGGAGGGAGTATATCATATATTCTCCACAATCCATTCCATTTGTGAATAGTAACGCGATGATTCATATTTTTGGGTTTCTTTTGCTTTTCTAGATTCGTTTAGGGCATCTCACACACTTCACTGTAAATCTTTTGTGGAATTGGCTACAGGAACCATCACTTCATCTGAATTCATCAATACACTAAAAATTCAAACAAATACATTGTGAAGTAAATGAGAGGAAGATAGTGAATTTTTTCTAAAGTCTAATCAGTGGCAGAGCCAGGATTTAGTAATAAATTTTAGGGAGGCCGAAAATAATTAACATCTATATAATACACTAAAAAAACAATTTAAAACTTGGGGGATGTGGCCCTTGCTGGTCCCTAATTCCAATAAATTAAAGGACATACCTCAGAAATCAGATTGTCATTTGGCTCAACAATGGGGAGTGACGTTGCATTCGCAGTGGCTGGGCTTGCAATGTGGAGAGGAAAATCGCAAAGACCAGTGCTGGTTCGCATTGGAATGTATAGGAGGAGGGTCAACATTGTAACATATATATATATATATATATATATATAATATCAAAATCATAACTTCAAATTAATTATAAATTTCATAATTTCAGTTTTTTTAATTTTTTTAATCATCAAACTTATAGATGGAAAAAGAAATAGACATCATAAAGTACCCAATTATATAATATTATATAAAAAAAGCTGCCCAATCCATACAATTGACTAGGTTTTTTTCCCTATTGTTGCGTAATTTGTTTATATGGTAGAGATCCAGTATGACTATGACATAACCCTATAATGTTTACTTTTTCGTATGAAATTAAGTTTCAGGTTCGCAATAAGTGAATAAATAAAAGTAAAAGAGAAGAGGCATTAGAGGAGGCGCTCTCTTCCCCAATGATAAAATCACATTTTCTTGTGTGTGTGTATGCTCCTTTAATCCTATTTATAGGGTGGAAAGAGAGTGTATAAGTATTTATTTTGATCCTATTTATAAAACACCTCAATAATTATTTTATTTCTCTTTATTCTTTTGACCCTATTAAATGTTGTGAAGTTTATTAAATGTCAGAGTATTTTGTTTTTAAAGTATGTATTTATTTAATAGGAGTAAAGTTGAAAACTTGTTAAATTTTTAAACAAAGTTAATGGAATAAAAGTAAAAATATTGGAAGTCACGTATAAATAAAACTAAAAAGAGTATATTATACCTTGCATCGTCAATAATGAATTGCATCCGCGAATCATCTGATTTTCCTTCCTCTTCTAAGCTTAGAAAAGATGGCTTTGGAGACTTGGTTTCACATTCATTGATTATGGTTTGAGAGTTCTCACTTATGGATAAATTGCTCTGTCCTTGCTCTTCAACATCAAAACACCTTGTATTTTCCTTAAAAGACAGGGCACAAATTCATAAGTATATCTGATGAGTGGTTCCTCTCATTAGTTAAATATTTGAAATAATATATATAAATCAAGGAAGTAAAGAGAATTAAAAAAAAAAGAAAAAGTATCCATTCAAAACTTTAAGGTTAACACAATTGTTGTGTTATCATTCCCCTAAACTCAATTGTTAATTGACTTGGCAGTAATTAATTGTTTTGATTGGAACTTGTATATAATTCTCCCTACTAAACATCTCCAAAGCTCATTGAAAGCTCTAATTCTCCCTATTAAATATAGTAGTGTTTTGATTGGAACTTGTTTGGCTGCTAGAAAGGATGAGAATGGGATATTGGATTGAAAAAATTAAAATAAAAAAATTAAATTACCTTTCTTTCTTGTGATAAGGATGATAAAATCCAATACTATATGCCACATGTGGGAATTATCACACCCTCCAAAAATCTCATAAATTATAAATCACAACCTCATGAACTAAATTACCCTTCTAAATCCCTTATGATTAAGGTTCACTTATCCCCTTCCAAATTTTGATACTCTTATTTTTATTTTTATTTTTTCAATCCATTACATCTCATTCTTTTTTAGCAATCAAACGGGACCTAAATTATAAGATATTACAAGGAGAGAAAAGGACTTACTTCATCATTGTGCACATCACCCATTGATTTGACTAGCTTTCCAAAATGACCTTTGCGGATGGCACGCCATCCACACTTAATGATTTTTCCATCCAATTTTAATAGAGGTTGAGTCTCAGGAGCCTGAAATCTCAAGCGAATCTGGCTGCAATTCCTTGATTTTTCATGATCGATTTGGTCACTGATCTGCCCAAAAACGATCCAAAGGTGAGGAGATTTTATTCCTTTCTCGTTCAGGCGACTCCTACCTTCAATTGGTACAAATCTAAATCCACCATTATTGCAAGCTTCAACAAAGTCAAACGACCAAATAAGCCAACCGATTTGTTTTTGGTTTGGCTCATCAGTGGAATAAAACATATCATCAGCTAGCACAGTGCACAGCACAAATCCAAACAAGTCAGATGGAGGAATGTCAATTATTATTGAAGCTTCAAGTTTCTCATTCAATGAAAGATACTCTTGGTTCTCAAACAATGATGGCATTTCTTTGCCTGGAATGGTGGCTCCGAAGTTATAAACCGAAAATCCCCATCGGTGAGCATATGTGCGAGGCTAAAACAGGCAATTTTTCACAAAAAATTTCAGATCGATATTCAATTAAGATATAATGAAACTTTTAGTCTCTCAAATTTGCTTCAGTTATCAACAGATCTCTCAAGTTTAATTTTTATTTATTTGGTCCCTTAAATATATCTTAGTTATTGTCTATAAAGAAGATAATACTATTAAAATCTACTGTGATGGATAAGGAACTATTAATGGTAATCATGTATAATAATGAAAAAAAATTATAATTATTTAGGTGGGAAAAAATAGACTCAGAAATTTTAAAAAATAAAAGAACAAAATGCAATATGAGAGAGTATTTTGAGAAAAATTAAACTGATTTAAGAGCTACTTTGTTCTCATTTAGCTACATATATATGCAAAGTCATCAACATACTTTACACATTAGATTAATTTAAATGAACTTGAGGGACCAAATCAATAAAAATTAAATTTAATGGATCAAATCAATAATTGAGACAAACTTGAGGAACCATGTAGATGAATATATATTAACAAATATTCTTACCTGTCCAATTAAATGAAAGAGACGTAATATTTTTTCATTTGACAAGTTTTCCAATGAAGCACATTCTCCTCCATCAATTGTATCTAAATCTGGTGAAGGTTGTGGCAATGACTGAAGTCTTGGGCAGGAATGCAAACAAAGGAAATATAGTTTCATAAGATTAGAAATGCATCCAGAAGGTAGATTCACAAACTTGTTCCCACTAAGATCTAATCTCTCTAGTGATGATAAGCCTCCAAGATCATTTGGAATAGATCCATCACCAATATCACAATAGCTTAAATCTAATTTTCTTAGTGACTTAAGATTGAAGACAGAATTAGGCAATGTTAAGCCCGTAGGAGATGATAATGAGATCCACAATTTAGACTCTGGTCCTTTGCATCCATGGAATGACGTTGTTCTCACATTTTTCATTTGCCCAATGCAAGAAGGTACTTCTGTTATAGCTGTTCCACTTACATCAAGCTCCTCCAAGGCTTCATTTTCATTCAAGTTATCTGCCAACCTCGAAAACTTTGAGCATCCAGAAATATCAAGAACCTTGAGATGTTTCAATTTTTTAATGTTATGGTGAAGGAAAACAAGATTCTTGCAATGCCTCAAATTCAAAGATTCAAGACTAGTCAATAATCCAAGTGACTCAGGAAGATCGACCACATTTGTCTCCCCAATATCAAGTTTAACCAGATTTGTCATGTCTTCATTAAACTCAGGAAGATTTTTTACTTGATTGCATCCGCAAAGAACAAATTCCTTTAGAGAAGTCATTTCCAACCTTTTTGGGAGGGATTTAAGATGCTTGCAACCTCTTAGATTTAACACTTCAACGCTTGTCAAAAGTCCAAGCGAAGCAGGCACTTCTTCTATGCCAGTTTCTTCTAAAATAAATTCCTTGAGAGAAGTCATTTCCAAATTTTGTGGAAGGACTTTAAGTTTTTCGCAGCCTTTCAAATTCAACGCAAGAAGCTTTTTGTGCTCACCAAGTGAAGGATGAAGCTCAACAAGATCTACACAACCTTCAAGTTTTAATTTTTCCAGATTTGGAAGATCCAAGAAATTGGGCGTTTTAATTAAGTACGTAGAATGACTCAAGTCCAAAAGCATTAGATTCTTCAAGCACTGATCAAAATAACATGAGAGAATTAACTATATGAAAAATACAATGTCCTAGCATAATCAGTCGTATAGTATATCTATAATATTGGTGTGTTTTGATTCATAGGGATTTTGATTTCAATCAAATCATGGATACACAAAAATTTATAAAAATCTATTTCTTAGTATATTTCCTTTGTACTATCAAATTTCTTCTATACATTACTCATTTGAAATCCTATAATTTCAAATATCTTATTTTCATGTTTTCATTGTTGACACTTCTATGACTCTTATACCTTTTCTTATTTCCTATTCTCAACTCATATGGATTGAAATATAGAGGTAATATAAACTAATCACTTTCACTTTTTTCTTTTTCATTTCGAATTTTGACTTATCTCTCTTCTTTATTTAAAATTTTTTTAAACTACTCAAGCAAAGAATTTTAAATATTTGAATTTTAAATGTGAGATTGGAAATGCAAGATTTTAAATTTAAAATTCAAATTCAAATTCACCAATGCTACCAAACATTAAAGTAATTAGCTATCCTTCATTACAAAGTTGCTTTATTTTGCTGTAACGCAATTTAAGATCTACAAGTTGATCTAGCTGGCTTCCAGGAGGAAGAGTGTCAAGAGGATATTCCTTCGATCGAAGAACTTTCAAGGCGCTAGGAAGGCATTTGAGGCCATGTGAAAGGTTCAAATTACTTGATATAATAAGTAATCTAAGGTCACACATTCTTGAAAAGGCTTCAAGATCCCAATCTACATCACATGGCTTTCCTTCCTTTAAAACTATCCCTTGGATTACTTCCATTCCCTGCTAAACAATATTAAACGCCAGAAAAAAAAAACCATAATTAATTATTAGAAAGTAAGAAATATAGGGCCTATTTGATTACTTGTTTTCAGAATAGTTTTTTGTTTTGAAAAACAAAAGAATGAAAAAAAAACTGTTTGAAAATGTGCTTTTTTTATCTGTTTTGAAAACAAAAAATTTAAAAGTTATTCTGAGGAACTAAAAAAAAAAACAGAGAGAGAACATTTTTTAGATGTTTTGTTACTTTTTGTTCTACAAAACTAGATAAAAGGAAAAGAACATCATACTTTCAATAATGACAATTAAGTTAATAAAATAAATTATTCTTTAACCCTTATTTCACCAATTTAGATATGTTTTCAAAATAATGATTTAAAAAGTTTTTTTTTCATTTGTTTGTTTCCCAAGCTTATTCTGAAAAGCTGTTCAACAGAATTATTTTAAAAATATAAAAACAGAAAACAGAACCAAACAAGCCCATAGCATGCATTCACTAAAATCTTGTAACAAATTTAATATGAACACTCACCTTATTTCCTTGTAATCGATTTAAGAGTTCCATAGACCACAACCTATTGGGCGTGCGTTTGTTACCGTTGCTAGGGCATTTTGAAAAAGCAATACTCCTACCCATTTTTTAAATCAAGTCATGCATATCTAAATGCATGCCATTGTTTAACAATGACCTCTCAATAAGAACTTTTATTCCAAGTCTTACATGAAGACCACAATTTATCAATATTTGCATCACTTTATTTTTGTCCCATCCCTTAAAAATGCAATCGATATCCAAAAATATTGTCTTTTCTTCCTCATCTAACCCTTCATAACTTATTTTAAGTATCTTAAGAGTATCATCATGTGAAACTTGCTCCAATTTGTCCCAAGCATCTCTCCATTCAAGTGCACTTTTTCCATAAAGAAAGGACCCCAAAACTTTTAGTGCTAAAGGAAGGCCCCCAGCATAATCAACCATGGATGTGGACAATTCCAAATATCCCTCTCTAGGTTGATCACTTCTGAAAGCTTTGCTTGAAAAGAGTCCAAGTGATTCTTCATTGTTCAAGATTTCAACCTTATAAGTATTATCCACTCCATGTGATGCCAACAATTGGACATCTCTAGTTGTAATAATCACTCTACTACCATTACCAAACCAGTCTTTGCTTTCTGCCAAATTCTCTAATTGACTAATGGAACTTATATCATCAAGGACAAGAAGAACCTTTCCATTACGAAAAAGGTCTCGGATTTTGTTCTTTCCTTGATATGTATTTTCAATTACCATTCCTTTCATGTTAAGACGTGAAAGAAGCTTCTTTTGTAAGCGAAGATGGCTATCATCATCATATCTTTCACAAAACCCCCTTATATTGCCAAGGAAACAACTAATTTCAAATTGGTTTCTCAATCTGTCATAGACAACATGAGCAAGAGTTGACTTACCGATCCCGCCCATACCCCATATGCCGACAAATTGAACCTCATCTGATCCTATACTCGAGAGAATGAAATGCATCTAATTTAGAGTCCATTCCCACAAGCGTATCATAATTGAGAGACGGCAAATTAGAATCTAATTTCCTTGATAATGCTTCAACCACATCTTCAATAAGTTTTGTTTCATGCCTACAATTGAACAAGTACCAAATGAACTTTCTATGAACCGATACAAATAAATATGTTATAAATAGGAAGTATCTTATTAGTAAAACCTACTCACCAATCTTCGGAATTCCAACCAGCTAAGTTTGCAACTTCTATTAAAGAATCTCGCCATTTCTGCACTTTGCGCTGATCTTCTCTGAATCTGTCTTCAAGCTTGGCAAAAGCTTCACCAAATCTTCCTTTTTGATGTCTTACATCAGATGGATCTACACCATAAAAGACTGGAAGAACTAGTTGCCCCAATCCATTTCTAGACTCAAGAATCTTTTGAAGCTCATTCAAACACCATGGAGAAGTAGCGTAGTTTTCAGAGAGAATGACAATTGCTGAGAGAGAATCCTCAATTGCTTTATCGAGTTTCTCTGAGATCACCTCTCCTCTTGGAAGCTCTTCATCGTCAATGAATGGTCTGAGTCCTTTTCTACGTAGAGCATCTCGTAAGTGGTCTGTAAAACCTTTGCGAGTGTCTACACCCCTAAAACTCAAGAAGACGTGAAAATTCCATTTTGAGGTTGATTTAGAGTTTAAAGAAAGATGCTTTTTGAACGCACAGTGCCATTGGAAGATTTTGAGTTGAGAAAGATGCTACATGAATTAAAGTATATCATTAGCTAAAGGAATTCAAACCAAATATGTAAACGCTAAAGACTGATAATTTCTGTGATTATTCTTTTTTTTTTTTGGGGTGCTGTGTTTGAATTCTTGAAGTGCAATTGGGAAAAGGAAACCAGATACAGCTTTCGTGCAGCTAGCGTTCGCCTCTAAAGTCAACGCCTTCTCACATGACAAAACGTATATAGGACAAGGAAGTGCCTCATGCTACGATTAATTTATGATAATATTAAATAAAGAAAGTCAAATTTTTACTTGTGAGAATCCAATAATACAACTTGAGTTACCTCATCAAGAAAAGGATTTCTAGAATATTTTATTGCAACTTTTGTAAATTTTATGTTGTGTATAAAACTTCGTCTCATCTTCTGCCTCATTTTTTTCTACTAAACTTTAAATTTTAAAGTAAACAATTAAAACATATGAAGGCCATCATGGTGACACCAGGAAGAAAAATCCATGGTGATCGCCATGGCCATGGCGATCGCGATGACATATTCTTTAAATGCAATTGGGAAAGGAAACTAGAGACATCTTTCCTTCACCTCTAAAGTCAACGCGTTCTCACATGAGAAAACGCTGTCTAAAAAAGATAAAAAAGAAAAGAAAAGAAAACTTCACATGCTTTGAAATTTGGAAACAACATATACGTACTAAGGACAAAGAAGTGATGCTCATCCTATGATTAATTAATATAATAAAAGCAAGTCAAATTTTTACTTATTAAAATCCAATTCAATAAACTTGAGTTGCCTCATCGAGAAAATGAATTTCTAGAATATTTTATTGCAATTTTTGTAAATTGTTGGGAAAATCGCATTTAAGGACCTCCTAAGGACTTTTATTACAAAAAAAATGAGCAAATGATTATAAAATGGCTATGTAGGACTAAGGGACCTAAATGGAATTAAATTATGCTGCGAAAAGAATAAACTACTTATGATGTTTCTTTTTTTTAAAAAAAAAAAAAAAAGTCCACCACAGTCACCAACGCCTACCAAATCACCGCCTTCGACTGCCGAAAAGCCCTTGTTTCTAGTGAGGTCACCAGTTGTAAAAACTCTAGCAAAAGTCACTGGAGCTCCAACACCAACAAAGCTATCAATAAAAGGTCGTGTTATTTCAACAACCTGACCAAATTCATCTTTGTCACTAAAAATAAATATTTAACAAATTGTGTTATTCTTATATCCTAATTGGTCATAACTTTAAGTTAATTATATAAACAAACTTATAAAAAATATTGTAAGGGCCTAAGGACTAGCTTAAGTCCGAGCTCGCTTGTTTTTGCAGGGCATATAATTAGGGCAAGGTCTAAAAGCCCTTTTATACCAAAATTTCCTATTTTTCTAAGCCTGATCCTAAAAAATTATATGCCAGCAGGCCTAGTTGAGAATTGGGGAGAGGTGACCATTTGCCCTATTATCTCTTGAATATTGAAGAGTTTAGACTAATCCAATCACATGAATTGGTCTTGTTAAGAGTTGTAGCCCACGGACTTGGTTAGAATAATGAATAAGGAGAAGATAAAGGGGGAAATTAATGACCATACATGCCTAATTTTGTTAATATAATTGATATTTATATTTACCCACTTTATATGCCTTTAAATACTTATACTTATATATAATAGAAGTTAGGATTCCTTGATTACTAAGATATTTATTTCACCCCATAATTTAACATTTTATAGGTGACATTTCAATTAGTGGCAAGAGAAAAGAACCAGAGGCAAACAACTACTTATTGTAATGCCTCTTAGTTCTTGCACATGTAGAGGATTTGTAACTTATGTCTTTACACACACATACACACACACATTGGTGTATGGAGGATAGGCTGGCACCCAAGAAGGAGTGAATTAAATGACACTTAAAAAGTTAAAAGAGTAAAATGCTTTAGTATGAAGGAAGAAGATGAGACACATAAGATTTATACTAGTTCAGCCCCAAACTTGGCCTATGTTCAGTCCTCAAGATCAAACATTAGATTTTCAACTAAATTGGCAAGCTTCAATGGGTGCTTGCTACCACAATACAACTCACAAGACTTAACTTATCTTGAATCAACTAATAAACCAAGCGACAATTCAGCAAGTTATTACAACCACTTGAAAAATACTTTTTTTAAGATTTCAGATGAATGAAATAAACTTTTACAAAGAGACTCTCTTAAAGAGTAGATAAATTACAGTTAAAAGCTTATAAACTTGTGAGAATTTTTTTACAATTCTATTTAAGAATGATGAATGAATGCAAGGTGTTTAAGCATAATTTGAAAACTTTTTGAATGTTCAGATAAAGATAAGTTCGCGCAAGAATCAAAAGTTCTTGTTCAGGCTTAAAATGAATTACATATATAATTTTGGTAATTGACAAACTGTTGGAACAGTGTTTCTAGCCATTAGTGTAATTTCTTGCTTGTGACCTGCTAATCATGTGTGAAATTGCTCTCAACATGTTCTAGATATTTATATGTGATAATTCATGTGTGAACCTTTTGATCTCTGACACATGGTTCTGCATATGTGAATATGTACTCAGTTCTATGTGCTAAAACTCACGTGCAAACCTTCAGCTCTCATGCATGGTTTAGCTAATATAAAACTATCATCAGTCCTGTGTGACACATCTTACGTGAAACCACTATGCTTTAACACGTGAAATTGCTTACAAAAAGTGAAGCTCAAATCTATATGATAGAACTCATATGGAACTTCTTTGCTCTCACGCGTGAAGTGGCTGGTAGAAAGCCAAAGCCAATTCTTGTGAACAAAATTCATGTGAAAGCAAAAAGCTATCACGCATGAAATAACCATCTCCAGACTTGGTCTATTTGGGAGGACAAATCACATGTGGATCACATCTTTACTCATGCATGAAATAGTAGGAAATAAGGCTCAAACTAGTTGGTGGCTACATTTCATGCATGAAAATGCAATGCACTCAAGCAAGATTATGCATGATCAAGAGATATGAACATGTGAATCAAAGATCATATATTTTAACAAAGTGAACTTAGCTTGAGATGACTTAAGACTCAGTGTAGCAATATGTGGTTGAGCAACAATGGATATCAATGGCTATCTCACGTGATTTTGCATATAAAAGCAACGTTTAAGGCATCACATAATATAAGTGACAAATTACGCGTGAATCACTTTTTGACTCTTGTGTGATCCATTTGTTAGTATGCCCAACATGTTGATTCTCGTGAGCATCCAAATAGAATCACGTGTGATTCTGCAGCCCACACTAAATTCAGTTATAATGATTTTTAACACAGTAGAAAGACATCACTTGCAAGCTTGAATATACTTAGATGAGTCTTAATGTATATGAATGAGACATATGATGCATTCATTTTAATGATTATAAAATGTGATTAAGCTCTCAAAGTTTTCACATTGAATCTAAGAAAATTTAAATAACTTATCTTAAAGTTCATCATCTTCTCTTGATTCTTCATATTCTTGAGGTTTTGTCTTCATCCATGATTTTTTATGTCTGCACACATAACAAATACCTCTTCTCTTGGTTTTGTAATTATTAAAACATATGATCCAATAGTGTAATATGGGATAAAATATAATTAAGTTTGATTTAAGATATTAGGATTATCCAATAGAGATATTTAAATTAGGATATTGATCCATTAGATTAGCTTTTATTATTTATTTTATTGTTATCTTAAATATCAATATCTTTAATATTTGATTTAGATTTATTATTTATGAATTGAATTTAAATTATTATATTTTATTATTTTTAAATCTCTATAAATATAGTTAGGTTTTTCATTTGTATTCAGATTTTGACTATTATTGAATTAGAGTCTGAGAGTTTCGGCCTTCTCCTCCTTTTTCCCCTTTTTTCTCTTTATTTTTTTAATGCTAAAATTCATATCAACAAAAAATGAAAAATTACTCAACATGCCACAAATGTATGAAGAAATTGCAACCTCCAAAATCCAATGATAAGCAAACTTGTGGAAGGTGATAAAGGCAACATATGAGATTAAGAGGATGATCGATGAATTGAAGAAACAAATGGAAGAACAAGCATCAAGCAAACCAATAATTGCAGAAGCTTCTTCCTTACTAATAGAAGATTCCAAGGTACGTAAAACCAGACCGGTCATTAAACGGTCATGGCACTCAGTGGTTCAATTGAATGAACCGGTGGCAACCGGTCATGATTAAAATAATACAATTTAAATAAAAGACATTAATTATAAAATATTCAACAAATCCAACCACTTAAAGTCTACAATAATAAAATACTATATTTTGGACTTAACATGCTCATCTCTAATTTTTCATTTTTGACTTCAATTTCACTTTTTTTTGTTATCTTTTTCCGAACTCAGAGTTCTGAAAATTAAAAATGAAAAAAAAAATCAAAACGATGTCGTTTTGAGGTAAAAATCTGAAAAAATATTAACCCGGTTAACCCAGTCAACCCATATCCGGGTTGAACCCGGGTTGGTTACACTTACTCCCTCATAAGAGCAAACCCAGACAGGGGACCGGTTCATTTCCGGGTTCGGTCCGATCCGGTTTTCAATACAATGGAAGATTCTCTAAATAATGATCAAGTTGTCTACTATACACCATACAAATGGCTCCTTCTCAAATTGTTCCTAGGAAGGATCAATCTCATTATGCTACAACTATTCCTTGTCTATGGGCTGTGTCTCCCAAGGTCACTTCATTGCTTTATGGTCAAATTCAACAATACTTTGTTTATTGGAAGGGTTTTCTAGAGATTATGGATGATCAAACTACTCACCCTTATTAGAGTTTGTTCTTTTGCTACCTAACTTTTTGGAGCGGATTCCCAGATACTAGCCTATATCAAGTTACTTGCTATTGCCAGAGCTTGCTTTTTCAATATCTCACTTGTTGGAAAGGATTTTCAGATTTGAGCACTCCATTGAAATTTATCTCACCCTTCCTTTCTTGGATTTGTACCTAAATTTTAACTCGTCTGGAGCCGAGTTCTTCAAATAGGGGAGAAATGGTGTAATATGGGATAAAATATAATTAGGTTTAATTTAGGATATTAGAATTATCCGATAGGGATATTTAAATGAGGATATTGATCTATTAGATTAGCTTTGATTATTTATTTTATTGTTATCTTAGATATCAATATCTTTAATATTTGATTTAGATTTAGAATTTGGGATTTAAATTTAAATTTTATTATTTTATTATTTTATTATTTTTAGATCTCTATAAATAGAGTTAGGTTTTTCATTTATATTCAGATTTTGAGTATTATTGAATTTGAGTTCAAGAGTTTTGGCTTCCCCTCCTTCTTTATCTCTTTCTCTCTTTCTCTCCTCCTCTTCTCTCTGTTCCCCTCTCCCCTTCCTGTTTTACATCACATATATTGCTAACAAGGGTACAAATAGTGCATTTTGATTGTAATTGAATAGGTGAATTGATGAGCTGTCGTGGCTAGCCATTTTGTGGATTAAGGTCATGAGGGCTATGATTGGCTAGAGAAACTGGATATGAATATTTGATTGTGACTATAACTTCAAATTCCATTTGATTTTCTAAAACACCAAACATACTTTTTAAGTCCAATTTTAGCCCAATTCTACTTTCACTTTCATCTTCACTTCTGCTTCATTAGAAATCAGATCCTTTGTACTCAACGAGGCATTAGCATTTGTGAGACTGCAAGTGCAAGCAAAGCTCGATCTACTGAGAAACACCCATCTGAAATAACCCCGAGATTATTTACTATTTCCCCCTGAGAAGAATCTCTTTCTCTTTCTGCGCCTTGTGAACTATTTTATGGTAATCCGTTAAGGTGTGTTAATAGTAAATTAATAGCCGAACACCCTTTTTTTTTTTGGTATTTAATCAAAGCTCAGAGAACGTGAAAATGTGTCCGTGGACGAGTCCCTAAGAGAGGGAACTTAGGAAAGTAGTCAAATGTAAGGCACTTTAAAAATAATAAAACAAATAAAACAAAAATATTAAACTCAAAAATTTGCAATTATTTAAATGGATACTTACAAGTTATTTTCAGAAAATTATATCAAGGACTTAACTGTCATTAATTTCCTCTTTTATGACTAAACTATCATTCTGCCTATTTAATATTATTTTATTTCACTTTGTGAATTTTTTTATATTAATCACCTAATTATCACTTTCTTAAATAAATAAATAATTTTATTGTTTAAATATTATATATTATAAACTAGACAAGGAATTAGATTTATTTAATTTGGATAGTTCAAATTCCCTAAATCGAGACACAACGTGTTATGGGTTGACTTTGATAAAGTCAAATGACGTCGTAAGAATGCATTGGCTCCATATATTCCCATCTCAGTGCGAAGATTCTCGATCTGTCTATATACACGTATAGATATATATTCTCATTCTTCGAGCACTTGTACATATCAAGTTTTGGGTTTTACAGATTTCACTTCAAGCATTGATCTGAGAGGCCAGAGTAATATACATCTAGATCTTGAGCCATTTTTCTTTACCTTGTTTCTGTTATTTTCATTCCATATTTGATTTTCTTTCCTTTAGCAAAATGATGTCTTTTTTCTTTTGGTATAGATCACAAATCTTCCAATGGCGCTGAATGTAAAAGAAGCATCTTCCTCAAACTCTTCTGACTCCAATTCAACACAAAACTGGAAGTTTGACGTGTTTATGAGTTATAGGGGTTCAGATATTCGCATAAGCTTCGTAGGGTACTTATATGCTGCGTTATGTAGGGAAGGATTCAAAGTTTATTCGAATTATTTGGATGATCTGTCGCCAGTTATCACAAATGAATTCCTAAAAGCAATCGAGGATTCTCGTTTTGCGATTGTTCTTATCTCTCAAAGTTATGCAGATTCTGAATTTTGTTTAGATATGCTCCAACATATTCTTGCCACAAGAAAACAATTAGGACAACAAGTTATTCCCATATTTTATGGTGTAGATCCATCTGATCTGAGAGATCAAAAAAAGAGTTTCGCTGTTGCTTTGGACTTTTGGGAAAGGAAGTTCCAAGATGACGTACCACACAAAGTGCAAAAATGGAAGGATTGTTTAACAGAAGTTGCTGACTTATCTGGTTTCAATTCCAAGGGATTGTAAGTGTCTATTACTCCATTTTCATTGTTAATAGAAGGTTTTAGGGACAATTTGGTCTCTAAATTATAGGGTTAAGAGGGTCTGAAACCTTAAACTTATTTTTGGTGCAATGTTTTCATTTATCTTTTAAAAACGGTACAATGTTTCCCTAATTCTTAACAAATTAACTTTTATTGTTAATTGACCATAAAATGAAAAAAAAGACTTAAAAATGATAGAAAATGATCAAGAAAATTACAGAAAAGGACTCATAAAATACAGACAAGTTTAGTCCTTTTCTATAATTTTTTGGTTATTTTCTATTATTTTATGGTCAACTAACTATCAAAATTAAATTTTATTAAAGGTAAAAGTAACATGACACCATTTTCAAAAATTAAGGAAAAATATTATACTAAAAATGAGTTTAAGGTCCTAGATTACGCTCATGAATCTACAATTTAAGGGCCAAATTCTCATTTAACCCTTAATTAAATGAGGGGAAAATTAGAGGACCAAATTAAAAGGATTAAAATATACTCCCTCTATTTAAAAATGTAAAGGATTTTTTTAGAGGTTGAGTGTTAAAAAAATGTGAAATATTTTTAATTTTTGAAGTGTAATTAGTGTACTTTTCCCAAAAGTGATTATAATAAATAAATTACTTTATATTTATTTAAAAATGAAACGCCCTATTAAAAAGAATAAATGTGAAAAGATGATCTTAATTTGGAGAAAATTAATTATTTTATTGGGAGTGAAATTAAGTTAAAAATGTCTTATATTTTTTGATAAAGAGAGTAACTTTTTAAAAATATTAATTAACATCAAGTTTTTTATTTCGAAAATTGCAGCAACATATTCTAATTTCAAAATTAATCAGCATTTATATTTTACCTTTGTGTTGTATTTTGGGATTGTAGGTACGAAGCAGAACTAGTTCAAAACGTGGTCGAGCATTTACGGATCCAATTTGGACTACGTAATTAAAGTGAGACAGTTATTGGTCGGAGAATTTATGAAATACAATACTGTCTGTGCGCCAGCGCGTGGTTTCCTATGTCATTTCATATGAGATTGATATTGGATTAATAAGTAAATAAGACCCTGAATTATTGTCCAAAATTATACTAAACCCTGAACTCTTAAAATATATAAAATAAATCCTAAACTTTTAAATTCATAGCAAAATAAACCCTGAACATTAACTTTTTTAACATCGTTATTGTTTACACGGGTACTATAACAATTAAGATTAAATTCCTAAAAAAATAAACATGAACAGTGCCTACGTGAATAGTAATGGTGTTAAAAAGTTAATAGTCAGGGTTTATTTTACTATAAATTTAAAAATTTAGGATTTATTTTATATATTTTAAGAGTTCAAGGTTCAAAGTAATTTTCGAGCAATAGTTTAAAGTTATATTTGCTCATTATTCCTTACTCCTTTAATATGATTTATTAGGTGGGGATAATATTTATTTTTATTCCTATTTATAAAGTATCTCAAGTATCCATCTTTATCCTTTTTATTTTCATTAAATATTGAAAAGGTTATTAAATAACAGAGTATTTTATATTTAAAGTATGTATATTTAGTTGAAATAAAATTAAAAATTTGTTAAATTTTTATACAGAATTAATGGAATTAATGAGATTTAAAATTTTCTTTAGTTACAATGAAAATGCTGAAATTGAGCTATGACTAGTGGGAGTATTTTTTGTTTTCTTGTTGGAGTCCGTCTTCTTATAAAATTGATGCGTTATGAAAAAGAAAGTCTAGGTTTTTGTGTGTCGTTTTATATACGCGGTGTCTTATTTTATTTTTATATTATTTTCTAACTACTTCCATTATTTTTTTCCTTATTGAATTTTTTTCTCCTCCATGATGATTTTTTTAAAAAAATATCAATCTTGACATAAAATATAAAATTTATGGAGAATCATATTATTTGTAAATTATAGATTTGTCCTCAATAATTCGGCCATTCTTAAAAAAACCTTCTTCGTTCATTTTATCAGGCTAACCAAATTTTTTTTCGTTCTTTTAATTGTTTTTTTTTCACATATTTTAGAATAAATTATGTTGTATTGAGCCACGAGGAATTTAGCAAAAGGGAGGGAGGGAAGACCACCAGAAAAAGACAATATTTTCAGGTAGAATCACCTTTTTTTTTAATTTAATTTGTAGGGAATGTATTGTTGGCCCAATATCCTTCACCGATCCCATTATCCCAATGTATTCTTTTTTTTTCATATATTAAGACAAATATAAAGAAACATAGTGTACAGGAAAATGTCACTTCACTTGGCTAAACCAAGGAGAAAAACTAAATACAGAGTAAAACAAATCCTCATGAACTGCTTGGAATTGATGATATTGAAGTTGATTGACACTGAGACTTGAGAATGTTGCTAGAAGAAAATGTTACTTATT